CTGAAAAAGGATGAGCGGAAGTGGATGGATGTATAAGAAACACAACATATTAATGAAACTGAGCATATCTGGCTGTTAGGTCACGAAATCACCCCTTCTTCTGCAAATGCTGAGAGAGAGGCAAAAACAGACTTTAATAGCTACCACTACTTACAGATTAAAATTAATAATACATAACCCTCCCACAGTTACATTAAGATGACTTTTTTCCCCTCAACTTTTCATATATATATATGTGAAAATATGTAGATGAGGTATCATCACCTCATAACTGTAGCTACTTGGGAGCCATCTTGGTAAGGTCTTATATGATTAGGTACATTTATGGAAGCAAAATAGCCCTAATTGTCACATCTGACCAGTGTACGTTTCCTGCCCTGACTTCTAACCCGTATGTTTAAGAAATGATGTAAAAATCACCGTTTAATAAGTCAGTACGCCGTATTTTGCGCCAGAGAGTGGTGCCTTGAACCGCCCCTTCTGAGTGGCGGAAAGAACGCCGTTTTTCCCGGTCTATGAACGCCGCTTTTCCCAACTCTCACAAAAACAGCGCTCATTGCGCAGCTGCGTATAACGTAAAAAGCGGCGTTGGAAGACCGGGAAAAACGGCGTTTTTTCCTACACTCAGAAGGGGCGTTCAAGGCGCCAGTCTCTGGCGTAAAATACCGTGTTCAGATGGGATCAACGCCGTTTGTTTTTTTACGGCGTTCTGACTTATCAAACGGCGATTTTTACGTAATTTCTTAAACAGAAGGGTTAAAAAATTGGAGAATTTTGGCCTAGATTGTTTGCCATACTTATCGCTGCTACTGTGAGTCGTTGGCAGGATAAAAACAAATCCACTGGAAGGAAGCGAGCGGGATGTTTACTTCCCAGCTGCCGAAACTCGACATATGTAATATGTCCTGGGTAGAAAAAATATTCAACGATTTGAATATTTTGATTCGGACGTAACACATCGTTTAATACTCTGACGACATTACGGCTTGTATGACGCTTGCCCAGGGAAGAGAGTGGTGTTGTCGTTTATCAGCTCCATTTGCATGTTGGATGGCTGATCTATTATGCTAGGAACATGTTCAAAAATGTTTTCGGCTCAGGGTTTCTGGTGAGAACATCACATGTGATTCTGACATGGGTCATAACGTTAATCCTCTTCCTACATGATACAGGTGAATCTATCACTTTACATTCATAGGCTTTGCCTCTATGATCGCTCGCACACCCCTGGGAGCTGTGGTGGTGTTAAGTGTGTGAGTGATTTGTTCACAGAGCTGAGGAAGCAGGAGGAGACGGGCCAGCTTGTCCAGCCCGTGCTCTTCGTGCTGCTGGTGCTGCTGTCTGTGCTGCTGTACTTCGCGGTCTCTCTGATGGACCCGGGTTTCATCCTGTCTGATGGCACGGACTTGCAGGTGAGCACGAGCCTACTGTACATTACTGTTATCACTCCCACTTTTTACCTTTGTGTTGTGATGGTTTCAGGGTTTGAAGCAGCTTGAATGTTTACGTTGCTGGTTAAAAAACCTGATTTAAAAATATATATCTTAAAAGATAATCGTGTGCTTGCAGTGCCAAAACAATAATGATAACAATAATTTATTTAAGGCAAACTAACACTCTGC